CAAGGCCCAAAGCAAACCTTTCATATCAGACAGGGGTCTGTCTGTACATCCGCCAATTTGGTCTACTGTATCTGCTGCTCCCGAGGTGGCCTCCTCTAGCGTAGAATCGGATATCGTTTCGTAGAGCATTTACACTCTGTACGCGACAAACGACAACACCTTCCAGTCGCCAACCATTTTAACTCCCCCTCCCACTCCCTGGGTCACATGTCTATCCTGGGCCACCTCCAGTGTCACACTGACACCACAGCAAACTGGCGTAGCAACACCTAATATTGGCTTCACTGTTAATTTGATTGCACAGTTTTGTACTTTTTATGTGGAATGCGTTTCATTCGATGTGATAGTTAATCTCGTATCAGAGATCTAAACTTTGGCATTCAATTCCCATGAAAGAGATTGTAAAATAGGACTCATTCTTTGTCTTTGTTGCCTTCGTCAGAAAAATTATAAACCAGTAAATTGTCCTTTCACAGCAGCTGGTTGACGAGCTTAAAAATTTATAGCATTAAATGACTTGTGTTTGGCCTCAGCACCTGATAAAATTCCATTTATTAATGTGCGCTGGTGCCAGAGTTCTTTCTACATCCCAACAGTCCTGGGGCTTTTATATCTTTATTGTGTGGATTGTGGAGAGAACTGAATTTAAAAGAAATATCACCAAATGCATTAGGACATATTATTTATGCAAGTATGAATCTCAAGCATACAGCACACTCCAAACAATTTTCCACTTTGGCTGTTTCGGGGCTTGAGCAATTTTGTTAAATTTCATATGAAAGGGTCAGAAAGACTGCCATTTCATACATAGTTCAGGTCTCTCATTGTTTAACAATGCTGACCCAACTACTGTTTCGTGGGAATGTTTTGAAAAACTTGTCACTTGTTGTGTTTCCCACACATCTTCCCCAGGTTGCTGTTCAGTGTGGCCAACCTCCAGGTTGAGAAGTGGTTAGCCCACAGGAAAGTTGATCTTTCCCAGCTTAATCCATACGCAGCACTGCACTATTGACTATTATTTAGTATGTATCTGAATAATGCAACGTTCTGGACAACAGTCTTAGAATACACATTATCTGGCTTTTTTTGAAAATCAACTAAATTGCTTTTTGGACATTTTAATCATCAAATTATTTAGAAGGGCATGAATGAATATTAATTTTGAGATGCTCAGAGGTGTTTTGGCTTTTACATTGGAATCTCCCCACTTAAATGCTCTATAATGCAAACTATATGAAGTGCAACTTCCATTATACTTGTCTTAAATATGGAAAAGTTGCCAAGAACTCAAGCCTCTGAGCTTGTTGTTTAGACATTTGATTTTATGCAGATTGGAAATATTTGGCGGATGGTCACATCCTCAAAGATGTGTGTCACTATAGGATGAGACTGCACAATCTGCATATGCTTCTGATACACACAGCTAAATATGGTTTTGTCATGATTTATGAGGTGCAGTAGTATACTAGTTGGGACGCTGTACATGATTTAAAGGCCTGTGCTATCAATCCAGATCGTGAATGTTTATATGCCAATATCAATAAAAGTAACTAATGATTAGATTGCTGTAAAACCCAAATGTTATTAATATACTTTCAGATAGGCACTGTATTTTTTCCTGCTTTGATTCTCTCTTAACTACAGTGGCCTTGCTGTTTTGAACTGCACCACAGTTGCCTCAGGGCAGTGGGAAAAGTTGTTAAAAGCTGACAGTGCCAGCATAGCCCACGTTCTATGGAGAATAAAGGAAAAGTAAAAATATGCATGCCAGATAATCGTGAAATGTTTCTCAAGACAGAAATTAATTCTTCAAATGGTCTTTCGGTTCTGAAATTTATGCAAAACTGCATCAAATTGTGTTGTTAGGGAAATGTTTTAGCGTTTGTTGATGTTGATTGTTGCACCATTTAGTAGTTAATTGGAAATATTACAATATTGTGATGGCTCGGTTTATTTTCTTAATATTCTGCTCCTGCAACAGTTACTGCTACCTGTTTTCATGGAGGCTCCTCAACAGTATTGTAGATATAATTTATCACTGAAAATTTAGTATTATTATGGCATATTTTGAGGTGTCAACCTGTAAATGGTCTTCTGTAAATTATCTAAATTCTTAGGTAATTATAGACCCTCTGTTATTATTCTTCATATGTATATACTCTAAATAGTAGCCTCTCTTCAACTTATTATTTATTTAGAAACTTTAGTCTTCATTGTTTTGTTGCACAATGACCTGAAATGTAGTGGATGTTTTTCCACGTGAGGGAGAAAAGTCATGGCAAACTTGTATTACTTTAACTCAACTTTGAACAAGTCTGCTAATTTACGATTTTTACAGAAAAAATGGACACACGTCATGGGATACAATGCTCATACCAGCAAAAATTCTGGGATTTTCATAGAAGTAGAGGTTGCTTCTTTTGGCAATTACTGATCTTACCTGAGAGTATCTGATTTGAGAGTGGCATTGGAAGAAAACAGAAAGAAATCGTGGCCTTGACCTATTGCTTTTGGCTGGCTAATGGAGCATCCTTATTGGGAGAGGGTGAAAAATCTCTTAATGAATTGATGGCACTTTGCAGGTGAATTCTGGAAACTTCTAATCACTGGTTCTTCCATTTTGAAAAAGAAAATAGGCAAAAAATGTAATATATACAAAAATGAACACTCACCATGTATAAATATTTTTGCATATTCTATTCACTAGTTTGAAGAGTTTGTATTAGTGTCCAAGTTATTTGTGTGTTAGTGTTTTTCAGAGTCTATTTTGTTAGTGAAAGGCTTTACTATGGCACTTGCCTTCTCTTGCTATCTCTGATTTGTCCCTCAGTCATTCATATTTTATTTGAATAGACATCATTTCTTTACCATATATATAGTTTATCAGAATTCTATCTTGCAAAGTACTGTAGTTTTGAATATATCTTTCTTTCTTTCTGGGGGTCTGAATTTTCAAGAGTCCTGGTGCTGTTCAGACAGAAATGTACAACTAGAAAGAGGAATTCCTAATGTTATTTTTTTCTTTCCTTTCAGAGCCTACATCCAATTTCTTTTTCATGAAATCTATAAAATCAGGTTGATTTTTGGGACAAATCAGAAGTAGCATCTTAACATTTTATGTTTTATGAATTTTCTCCTGGACTGTCTAAGGCCACAACACCAGAACATGAATCCAATCTTACAACCCACACTTGACAACCAGGACCATTTCAAAGGATAAGTCTATAACCACAACAGCATCGGTATCATCACTGAAATATTTAATTGTCTATGCCTGTTATTGTAATGAACTTGGTACTTATTCAGTTTTTCTTTTAAATATTTTGAAGAGATCAATGAGAACCATGTAACAGCAATTATAGAAGGAGCAGAGCATTAAGAAGCAAAACATGACCATGACAATAATGCAAAGTTTCAAATGAAATGCTATTTAAGCATTACTTGGGAATTTATTCTGCATTTTCGTCTGATTAGTTTGCACT